AATGAAACATGCATAAATATATATATATATATATATATATATATATTACAGTGTAGAAAAATATGGAAAAACAAAAATCCGAATATGCAGGTATGCTGTTTTAATGTTGTTTCAATGTCGACGTCAGATGTTTCGGTCTAGTAGACCTTCTTCAGGACATAGTTATTAAAACATAATTAAATTTAGACAAATTTTAATTCTGTTTTAATAACTATGTCCTGAAAAATCTCTATTATTATTATTTTTCCATATTTTTCTTGATATATATATATATATATATATATATATATATATATATATATGTAAGCAAATATATGGATATATATCCAACAGTATGAAGAAAAATATATACGGAAAAAAAAATCCTTATATACAATTATGCTGTTTTAATGTTAATATGTCAACGTTGGATGTTTCAGTCTAATAAACCATCTTCAGGACATATTCATAAATTCTAACATTATCAATACAACATGACAAAGACGATGTACATAAGAACAAGACTTATCCAAACAAATAAGTGAAAGTTTTATAAGATCAGCGCTCCGTTTAAAACATGGTCACATTGTCGTCACGTGGGCGACGCTGTGAAAACGTATTCCTAAAAGTTGAGTATTTTAAATGAAAAGAATTCTATTTTGATCTAAAATTTATATGTACACTTGTCGGGCATTAATCTCGCTAGAAATGGGGAAATACTAAAGAAGCCAGGTCTAGTATTCACCATATATATATATATATATATATATATAGTCATCCACAAACAAACTGTTTTGCTGTATCACAGCTCATCAGTGATATAAATAAATAAATGAATTTTTTTTTAAATTTTCTGCTCTACTTATCGTATTGCGCACTTTACGTTTTATCTTATTTACTCGATTGGGTTTTTTTTCTTTGGACTGAAAATTAAGGAACTGCATGATTTTTTTTGTCCTTCGCAGATGTTTCTAGTTCTTTTTTTTTTTTTTTCAAATTTTTTTCCCAGATACCAATTTGTTTTGATATATTTCTATTTGTGCATTGCATCATCTAGTTTTTTTCACCAACCGAGTATAGTTACTATATATATATATATATATATATATATATATATACACACACACACCACACAGTGTACATACATCAACATTTACACAGGCATATACATATATTAGACTCATTTTGTAATATTTTTTGCATACTTGTATATATATATGTACATATATAAATGTACATCTGTGTATAAATATACATACATACATGCACACACACACCATAAAGCCATTTTTTTAATGTATACCTGTATACACATATACATACATACAACTATTTCTTATATATATATATATGATTTTGTATAATTTTACATATCAACAAACAGTATTTAGAAAAATTTCCAGTTTGTCATATTTTTATAAATAAATATATATATATATATATATATATATATATATAAATACAGTCTTAAGATGTGCTATATTTATGGGATAAAGTGCTCAGTATCAGAGACAGTGTGTGTAAATATAAAAGGGGACATAGAAGTCAACACCTAGAGGCGACAGTCTGTTTCATGATAGCCGCAATCATTAAGATCTTGTTGCCTGATGTCTGTATAGTAGCAGTTTATTCTGAGTCCCCACAAAAGGAAGATGGCTGGAATTTGAGTTGGTGTCTTTCTATTTTAAAAACTTTACACATTATTTCCATTGCTAAATAAAGTGTTAATTTTCTGTATATACAGATGATGATGTTAGTCATGTAATGCTCACATGGATTTTTATGTGGGGAAATTAGGATTTCATGTAAAAATAATGTTTTGTACTTTCTGTATGTATACAAATAATATGATCACTACTTATGAAAAATGTATAAATGACTTTTTGACATTCTAAATAATACCTTTACTGAGCAAGGAACATCTGGTAAGTACCATATTTGACGGCATATAAGACACATCCCAATTTCAGCAGGTCAAATCAAGAAAAAATTAGTAATTAGTAAAATTAGTAAACCTGCATATGGCATATAAGATGCAGGGGAATTTTAAAAGATATTTTTAGTAAAAAAAAAAAAGTGCGCCTTATATGCCATCAAACACGATAATCAACAAATGAAGGTGTTGCTGTGACAATAGCTAATAAAAAAAAATGGTGTCGACATAAGCTCTGTAACTTGGAAGATGAGATCACTTACAACAGCTGCACATCACCTAGGAACCTTTCTGAAATTTTCCATCTGTGGCAAGTTATGTCAGCACCTAAAAAACTTTCTTGGATTTTGGAGGTTTTCAAATTTTGGTATTTCAGATAAAGGAAACTCAACCTGTGTGTTCTGGAGAAAAAAAAAAAAACTACTAAGACATATCACTTTATTAATTGAACTATGTACTTAGTTCATGTCACGTTAACTGGAAAACAATTACAACAAAAGAATTTGTGGATTTAACAAATTACAAAATTCTCACTTGAAATATTTGAACTTTAGTGTTGCGACTTGCACATTCCAATATTATACAACCGTTAATAAATAACACATTCTTTAAAAAACATCTTTCGGTCTAAAACACATTTATTTTGTCTTCAAGTTTTGATTTTAAAGGAAAAATTACAGCCTGATGATGAGGACATGATGTCTTTGAAAGTACTTGCTTATATAAAAAATACACCAGATCCATCTGACAACAATTTTATACATAAGGATCGCATCATTCAGTGGATTGTTAGTAGATTAATGCTTATATTAAGTCTGTTAGTGAAGAGATTTCACCATTAATCGCATTAATATTGCTAATTGATTCAATGTATGATTATTTCTTTATAATATATATATATATATATATATATATATTACAGCCATGTTTTTTTTTTCTTTGGATACTATTATATATCCTACAAACACACATTGGAAAATATCTAAATTTTCATCTAAAATCAAGAAAATACAAACTTTAAGTAAAATAGTTTCCCTATATGGAAAAAATAGAAAGCACCTGTTAAAACAGACACCATGAAGATATGTGTCAACCTGACAATTACTATTTTTCCATATATCTAAACTATAATTATAAAGTAGAGTTTTGGAAAAAGAAAATTTCACTGAAAAACTTTAGAAAGTATGAAAAAAAAGAAAATATGAATTTTAAGCAAATTTTTCACAATAATTATTTTTTTAATCAATTCACCTCAAGGAAGATGATAATGTCACAAGGGACAAATGGGAATGAAAGAGAAAGAAGAGAATTTAGAAGGAATCAGAAATTCAATCCTAAACAGGAAACAAAGGATAAAACCTCTACACCTGTTCAAAACACTGGGGAGGCTTGTGAACTGGACAATATGTGAATTATTGAATATTTTATTTAATGTAGTTCTTTGTGATTATGGCGTTTAAATTTTTTTTTTTTAACAATTTACATTATATGAAATTTCTGTATTGTTGATGATTATCTAGCCAATATTGGTAGAAATCTGGTATTACTTTTTGATTAATATAGTCATATGGCATTAAAAAAAACAAAAATCAAACTCCATAAGAAGGTTACAGAGTAAAAGGCACCATGCCAAGCAAGGTGATAATGCAACTAAGATGTAAAGACCGCTGAAAGCGAAAGAGAATGAAAAAACTTTAGAAGGAACTGGAAACCCAATCTTAAACAGAAAACAAGGGATAAACCTCTATTCCTTTTCAAAAGACCTGGTATGAATATGAACCGGGTGACAGCCGAATGTATTTACTCCTATTAAGGAGAAAAATAGATTAATAGTAAATAAATTTTCAGGTAGAGACATTAAAAGTATAGAGTTAAAATAAACTTTAGATGGAACCGGTAACAAAATCCTAAACAGGAAACAAGGAATAAAATCTACTCCTGTTAAAGAAGACCTGGGAGGAATATGAACCAGGTGACAATTGATGTATTTATTCTTATTGATGAGAAAAATAAATTAATAATTATTAAATAAAATTTCAGGTGGAGACGTTAGAAGTATAGAGTTGAAGTAGACTTAGCATGATATATGAAAATATTTTGGAGGTGCAATTGAGTAATGAATAGCGGCTCAGATTGGGGAATTAGAGAACTGAGTTCAAATTCTAGTCAAGTTCATTACATTCATTTATGTGCAAATACTCATTGGAATGTTAAGAATCCATCTCTTCTCCCCCCGATATGGGTTGAATAGCAGGACAAACTGGGTCCTATAGCCTTGAGTGGTAACCAGTCTAGGAGAAGAACAATTCTGAATTCAAAATCTCCAACTATGAGTTAAATAGCCTCACCAATTTGCAATTGGCCAAGCATGGTGAGTATGGCTATACCCCTGAAGAAATGGTCAGTCAGGGAGGGGTTCTTCCAACAGGATTGAGAAAGCACTGGATTTGGATACTAAAACGATTTAGAAAAATTTAAGCTCCATTTAATATCTTCCTTGCATAAAGGAAAAAAGTTTTTCTGAATATGACTTGGGTAAATTTATTTTTAAAAAAAATATGTTTGATGAGTATATATATATATATATATATATATATATATATATATATATATATATATATATACCACCTTTTCCTCTCTCTCTCTCCATACATACCTACATAAATCTATAATGATCTTAGGATATATCACAAATAATATTTAAAAAAGGAAAATATTTTTTTGTAGAAAAGAAGGTAATATTATTTTTATTTCTGTAATAATATTATAAAAAGAAGAATTATGAGTAAGTCATTTCAAAAACATGAAATATTTTAAGATACAATACAACATTTTTCTGTCTTTTAATGATAAAAAAATGATCATGAAAGCCAGTTGTTTATGCAGCTACGCATTTTCCATGTTTTCTTAAATGGATATTCACGATTGCTTGCCTGCCATTCTTTCAGACAAAAATATATCTAACTTCTACTCTTCCATGTCAGTATTTTTTCTCTCAATATATCATATCATTTCAGAACATATTTCTCCACAGCTTCCTGTCATTCAGTAATACTTGTCCCTTTATGATCTCTTTCTTGACTTAGAGCCACATCATGTTGAAACACCGGTTCCCATATGATCCCCAAAGTTAAGCAATGTTGAGCATGGTCAGTACCTTGATGGGTGATTGCCCGAGAATACCAGGTATTGTAAGCTTGAAGGCATGGGTGGTGTAATGGATAATGGCTTGGTATAGTTAATTGGAGAGCAGAGTTCTAATTCCTGCTGGGTTTGTTATATTCACTTATGTGCAAATACTATTGGGAAAGGTATGAATCCATCTCATCTCCCCCAAGCTATGAGTTAATTAATAAAACTTGTAGCATTAAACCATTATTATTTAAAAAATATTCTTACATTATAAAAATATTTTTTTAGTTTTAAATAACCTTCAATGGGTGGATAAGTCATAGAAAACAAATCAACCAACCTCTTATTTTAGTAGACCTTATTCCATGGTAATTTACCATTTTTAAATGTCTGTTGTACTTATATCTGAGATAAATGAAGACATGAATATATGTGTGTCTATGTGACATGATTTAACAAAGGCTAAGGATTCCAGCACACAGAACAGATTTACCACATAAATGGATGTCAACCCAGGTGTTTCTACATCCTCAGACATGTGCAATGTGGCTGTTAATCCCATGAAAGGATTTATCTGTCCTTTGATTGGTCTTGTCTTTAATTCTGATGGGTCTCTAGCCACTCTTCTCACCAGAAAAGCCTGGTGGGGGAACTAGTTTACTTACTCTTTTTTTTTTCTTTTTTTTTTTTTTAAACCACCAATGAAAATGGTTTCTAAAAGTAAATTAGGAAATTTTCTTACAAATACTAAAAACATTCCATTTTAGTAGACATTTCTGAGGAGAATTATTATCATGATTACATGCTCTGCAATTAGGACCAGTACAATGATTCTGGCTCTTATCCTCACAATATTTCAATTATTTTACTTCCTGGCCTTCTTCATGTATCTGCCTTATTTATAACTATCTTGAGTTTTCTACAAAATGAGTAATTTTCCAAATCATGGAAGAAAATTTTTATTCCAATATAAAAAAGAAGATTAATATTTTCTCCTCTGAGCAGTGTTTGAATTTATTGTTATAGACTGATGCTATTTTCCTTGTTTTACATGATATTTTTGTGTGTTTTAGTTTTTGTTTTCCCATATATGTTTAGAAAGGGTTCCCATATCTACTATTTGTAAACGATATTTTGTATGCACAGTTTCTGTTTCCAGGGTCATTCAGTTACTCCTATGTATATTTTTTCTCATTATCTGCTGATTTTATAGTGGCTTGGAATATTATATTGTTTTGCAAGCAATTACCATTTTGAGGAACATTTATGCTTTGCCTTGCAGTTAAAGGTGGTTTATGGTTATTTATCTATTGCGCTTTTTTATTATTTGTGTCATGTTCTCACTGCAATTGGTTTGCCTATCATCTGATTCACACCACCCTGGTCTTTTGAACAGGAGTAGAAGTTTATCCCTTGTTTCCTGTCAAATATTGGTTCCATCTCTTTCACTCCTAGTAACCTCTTACATCTTAGTGGTATTATTGCCTTACTTGAGGTGAATTGATTAAAAATGTAGCTGATTTTTACTGTTTTTCTGTTGAATTTCTTGTGGAGAGTGCTTGATGGGAGGAGAAGTGTTTGCAGATAAGTTTAATGAATATTTTCCTCCGTTTTTATGTTTTTGTTTTACAGTGGGTTAAACGTGACATTATTTCTTTTTCTGTTGTTAGCTAATACCTGTTATAATTATATTTTTACCACAAATTTTATGTTGCATGAAGTCTTCTCCGTAAGATTTCTTTTCATGGTCTACATTGGTATTTCTTGGTTTTGGCCAAAAGTATCTTTAAATTTCAAGGTAAGATAACTGCAGATTTGGATGTTGGTGAAATAGTTTAAATGGATTTCATAATATATAAGCTCTCAGCATAGAAGCTGAGAATTTAATAATATTTTTTTATACTGGGTAGCTAGTTCTTTAATGGTAATAGTGTATTTAACAAAGATATTTTAATAAAGAAAACAAATAAAATATTGCAAGCCTTGATTGCTAAGTAAGATCTCCAATCCTATAAAACGAGTTTTAGACCCGACAGAATAATGAAACTGATATCAAAATGAAGTCAATATATTTCTCTTCAAAATGACATGGGCTGATGGATAAGTAAGGTCTCCAATCCTATAAAACAAGTTTTAGACCAGATAGATTCATGAAACTGGTATCAAAATGTAGTCAATTTATTTCTCTTCAAAATTAAAAGTTTATATTGCAACATTGTCACAATTTTCTGCCACCCATTTTCCCAAATATTCTATCCAGTTTTTCATTGAAAACTTTCTGGTTTACTTTTGATCTAATTGCACACAGCAACTTCAACTTCGGCATCAGATGTAAAATGTTTATCTTTCAATGACTCTTTTAATTTTGGGAACAGCTAGATCGCAGAGGGTGGGAAATTGGTGTTTTATAGAAAGTGTACAATAGTTGTGAATTTCTGGCTTCTCACCATTTGACAAATGCAATGAAACCTTTTGGTTATTGTGGTGCAAATAAATCTAATCTTTTCACGTCTTATTCTGTAGATGTGTTGCTTGAGTGCTTGCAAGGTTTCACTGCTTTTTATATGACTAGGAATATTGATTGGTATATGCCCTTCTTGTGCCAAAAAATCTATAATTGATCATTGCTTTAGATGTAACTTGGACACTGTACTCTTGAAAAACCAACACAGTTACTCAATACTAGAATGAAATAACTTTAAGCATATTTGAACAAGACATTCTTATATGCACATTCATGTAGATACCCACACATACACTGTGGAAAAAAAATTTGCACTGATGATAAGTGCATATAAAAAAGAAAAATTGTGACATATAAGCAGTCAATTGTTGATACCCACTGAAGAGTGAACAGATGGGTCCAGCTACAAAACATCAATCAGCTATGTGACAAACCTTTTACTGTAGTAGTAATTATAGTATATATATATATATATATATATATATATATATATAGTCATCCACAGACAGACTGTTTCACTGTATCACAGCTCCTCAGTGTGGCTAGGCATTCAATTGCTTCAAGCTGGGATTGAAACCTGAGTGATTTAACATCAGTCAGATCTCTTACCACTAGGCCATCATTGCCCGACAGGGAAGGAAGGGAATTTTAATGTCTTTCTCTATACAAAACACACCAGCTGCTCATAGAACTCAATTCAATTTTACTTGAAGAGTAATTCTTGAGATATATATATATTTTAAGGAAAAACAGACCACTTTATGGCTCCATTGTAATATTTTATTTCACCAGAGACTTTTTAAAGTGCCCTGGATCCTCAGACATCACTTTCAACAGGTGAAACAAATAATGTTGAAAGTGATGTCTGAGGATCAAACTACTAAAAGTCTCTGATGAAATAAACTATTACAATGGAGCCTTAAAGTGGTCTGTTTTTCCTTAAATTTTTAGCTCTGAATTTACATTGAGCTCTCAGGATTTCATCCTCATTGGGACTACCTATACGGATTACCAAATTTTTCATAACTTAAATATATATGTGTGTGTGTGTGTGTGTGTGTGTGTGGGGGGGGGGGTGATACAAATTATTAGGAGGATTTGAGATAATCATAATTAAGTAATTCATTGTGTCTAGAAGAAACCTCAAAAGAATGCAGAAAGCACTGGATGGCCGTTTCGACCAAAATTTGGGACTCATCAGCTGTGCGCATCCACTACCAAGAATTGAACCTGGACTGTTATGATACAACACAAGCGTCATATCAACTGTACCAATGGCCTTTGGTGACAAAGAGGTTTCTTCTCGCCTTGATAAATTACTTAATTATGATATATATATTATTATTTTTATAATAAGAGATTATAATAAAAACATGTTGAAATCGCTACACAAAAGCTTTCATGTTTTGATACTATGATTGTACTTCTTCAGGTGATGGTAAGTACTCACCAACACCTGAAGAAGTACAATCAAAGTATTGAAACATGAAAGCTTTTGTGCAGTGATTTTAACATGTTTTTATTATAATCTCTTATTATAAAAATATATTGCTCTACTTTTTATTGAGCACTTTTTTAACAGTAAATGCTACAGTGGAATTTTACTCCATCTGTTCTTTCTATCATTTGGATATATATATATATATATATATATATATATATATATATATATATATATATATATATATATATATATATTAGTGAATATACATAATATCTAACATCGATAACATGACTGGGAGTTTCATGCAGTTGCTGCAATTTTTTGTGTTGCACATGCATGTATGTTTTTATCATACACACACACACACACATATATATATATATATATATATATATATACATACATACATTGTTTGGAATGTTGTCCTCATCTTTGTTGCCATATTCACAATGTTTCAGCTGTTGTATGCACTGGCCTTCTTCAGGTCATTGGAATTTTGAACTGAAACCTTTATTTCGGCTACCAAGGTAGATTGTTCTAGTTCCATGTGGCATGCCTCTTCTGGATATCTTGATATCAGTTATTTCCCTTTAACTCAACTCTTCAAGTTCTGTTCACCTCTGCTGTAGCCAGGTATTGAACTCACAACTCTTTGGGTCAAGTCACTGGATTCAACCAACACTTTGGGCCATGTGAATATGACAACAAATATGTAAATAGTGTAAATAATTACAATCCTTCATCTTGGAAATATATATCCTTTGACCCATATGGTCATGGGGGCACCATGCGGACTGCAGCCACAGTAGAAGTGGTGTTTCTTGGGCAAGATAGCCTGATGGAGTCCAACCCTCTCCAGGCTGATTTTGAATTCAGAGTTTTTCCATCTCCTAGACCAGTTTCCACCCAAGGTTATAGAACCCAGTCTGTCCTGCCATTTACCCATAGCTGGGGGCAGGGATAAGAGGATGATTCATACCTTTCTCAAGGGTATTAGCATGTATGTGAATGTAATGGATTTGAGTCGAATTGGGACAGCTTGGGAATGGAAACCAAACATAAACACAATATCCCTTTTACATAACACAGCTTATACATATACCCTGGAAGTAGTTTTATATAAATAACATATACCCTGGAAGTAGTTTTATATAAA